AAGAAAAAGTGTATCACAACAAGCCTGAAATAAAGTAATCAACAGCCTTAAGGGTCTATTATGTTTTATCAGGAATAAAAGTCAAAAAGAACTATCCTACATTAAACATTTATTGAAAACGAACACAAAGTATCATTAATTAGTCACAGTGATCCAAATAAAACCGAGTTTAACTTTTAAATAGATTCGAATTTAGTAACTGTATTTTTTGAACTAAGTAAGCTACTAAATAAAACAAGGCGAAATTTATGTATGTCTCAATACGATGATTTTTCGAAACATGTCGTGTACAAAACCTTTAAAATGAATATGTGTTAATAATATTCAAATATAAAATATCAAATAAGTAAGAGTGTAATGTACGAATCAAATTATAACTTATAACGTTAAATAAAAATAATTTTGACTACAATTAGTTGGGATAATAGTGATAAAACAACAATTTAATGTAAAAATAAAAACATTTTTGTCTCAAAAATTATAAAAATAAAAAGCGTACTCTGTGTATCAAACTTAAGAGACTTATCTGTATAACTATCTTATGATGTAAGCTAACATTAGGTTATTCTCCCGACACCAGAAGTGGATGCCAATGAAACTCTGGGCAGAAGAGGTCTTCGAGATATCAACAAAAGAAGATTTGTAATGTCAGAACACGTCTTAAGGTCTGCATCAGGTCCTACATAAATGAAATGGGTTGAAACATACAATATTACTGCATTATTACGCATCCATTGTAGTTACTGAGTACCATGTGGTAGTTACTGAATACCATGTGGTAATTACAGGGTTCCATGTGGTAGTTACTCTATAAATAAAAAATAGTTTTTTTTTTTTAATGTCAATAATAAAAACAATTTAGCATACATAGTGATATCAACATAAATATTTCACCAATGCGATAAAGTAATTAAATACTCAATTAAACGAAATAAAAACGGAAATAAATGAAATAGAATATAATATATTAGGCTATATAAAATGGCGGATAAACTTACGGTGATCATTCCAGGAAGAAACCAAACAAATACGATCTATAATCTGGATTGCATATTTACAAGGTTTTCAAATCTCCAAATCGGACACCCGTGCAATGGAAATCGAAAAGTGCGCACCTATCACGCAGTCATTCTCAACTGGAAAATTGTCGGACGCCGAAACGCGTCTTTTTCAGATCCAAATTCCCGCAAGAAAAGAGAGAAAAAAAGTGATATCATATGATCGAGATCATTAGAACAGAAAATCGCAATCAATTGCAATTAAGGAAGTTTGGCATATAGCGAACAGATGGCGCTAATAAACAAGACAAGTAAACTGTAAGAAATGAAGTCTTGACATCTAAGCGAATAGACATCGCTAAATAAAATTAAATATCGAAACATGGAGCTGTAACAAATGGGGTTTGGTATCTTTGGCATCTAGCAAATTGATGGCGCCAATACTAAGAATTAAAATAAAAATAGATTTTAAATTCAATTTCATCATAAGAGCAAAATGCTAACATTTATATTTGCTGGTTTTATTAAAATAGTTTTTTGTCCGCAATTCTTCTCAATAGACCCATCAGATCCAGAGATCGATAGTATACTAGTCTTTTCCCTTGCTCCTACACACAAATACAATACTTATCAGGTCGAATTTCAATGTAAGGACATCGTGTTGGCAAGTCATCAACTGAGGGAGGGGTCATGGTCAGGTCCTCACAATAGGGATTGACCTCAAATCTAAGTAGCCAATAGAGAAAGAGGGACATATATCCTCTATTATAGATACGGGACAACACCGGTGTCAGGTCTAAGGAGAGACCCAATGTTAAAAGTGAAGAAAATGAGACGGATCCTCCAGACTCACCTCACGGTTCCTCATCCGGAGGCAAGCTCCTCGACTGTGAAGGGTGGCACGGAGGGTCAAACTCCAAACGTGGAAGGGTGTGTACCCTTGGAGGAAGAACTGTTTTCAGAGGAGGATGGTAAATACCCTGTCCCTTCTAGAACAGGGGTATGATGTGTTATAGATTGTGTGATGGGTTATAGATTGTGAGATGACTCAAAGAAGGGGATACAATATATCTTTAAGATCGCAGTGATTACCCCCTCCTGTTACTCATTCTACATATATATATGGAGCACCATAGAATTCCTATCTTTCTTGGTAATTTCACTTAGTTGGTATGGTATTCTTTTCTGTAATAATTTATTCTTATACGATATTATTAAACGGTTCTTTAACACATATTACACAGACTAAAACTTAATATCACTACAGACACTTATTTAGCAATATTTTTATTATACTTATTTTCAAGCAACACACTGATCTAAAAACTCGCCATTGGTCTTATTGGGTACATACACAAAATGCATTTTTTTAAAAGTGATTACAAGCTTTTGCTTTTCCCACAGAACGGCCAGTCGACTTTAATAAACTTCCCCCGTACCGCCTCTTCGAGTGCCTCTTCTAATTCATAAGTATTTTGTAAACCTTGTGTTAACCCATACCGATGAAAAATCTTAAACGGATAGGTCAGGTGATCGAAGAGGCCATGCAATTGGCCAACCTCTCTCTATTCCTGAGTTTGCAAAATTATGACATAGATACACTCTCTCTACAACTTCTATCTACTATGTGGGGGGGGTCATAATGAAGTCATGTTTCGCATTATTGAGAGCAAACGATTCGAACTGTTTCATGGCTAATTGTTACTACACACATCATATAGACTGGCTATAACTCAAGTAATTTTTCGAACGAACATATATACACTACATATAACGTACGCCATGCGTTGGTCCACGCTGAACGTAGGCTCTCCATATTTCTCCATGTCTCTCGATTTGGGCCGTCATCATCCAATTTCCAGCAACCCTCTTTACATCATCGGTACAGCGTGTCGGTGGTCTGCCTCTGCTATGTTTTTCTGCTCGAGGTCGCCATTCTAACAATCTTTTAGTCCACCTGTCTTTAGATGCTCTCGCCACATGACCTGCCCATCTCCAATTCATTCGCAGTTACGTTTCCACTATGGTTTTATACTAATTTTATTATACTTATAATCGAATGAAAAGCTAAAATGACGCTTTTTATGAAGTCATGATCAACTATGGTTTCCATTTAAAAAAACATATTTTTATGTTTTGTGTTATATGTCAAAATGACAGGCTTTAGAAAAAAAAACAGTACAACATCTCATTATAGAAAAATGTGATTATCTACAACTTTATCTGAAAACTTTTTGATCTAAATAGATTATAATGGAATTACAGAGAATTTTGAATACACAGACTCTCAGTTCTCTAATTTTTCGAAAATATTAGTAAGCCTGAACTTTTCAAAAATCTGAAAGACACATGTTTATGACCCCACAAAACTGGAATTCTTACCCCATTTAACCGACTCTCTCCAGTAGTTTCCGAGACACCCATAGAGAACATCGTAGGAAACTCACCATGTATAGAAAAATGTAGCAATCAATATTTCAAATTAATTTTATTTATATTATTTTATGTTGTGTTTATTTAATTTATAACTTTACATTTCAAATAATATATCTAAATATTATAGGATGCATTTAGCAAATTTTCTACTTCAGTTTTTTTTCCGTGTAGACTTAGTGTATTTTGCTTGTTGATGATAAATGAAAATTTGAAGAGAAAATTATAGTTTTTCTGCTTTCAAATAAAGTGTTTCGTTTGTTTGAAGCAGAAACACACCACGCATGAGCGTTAAAGGCAGCTGGGTGGTTGGGCTTATAGAAATCCTGAATTTTCTCAGTATTCTTACAATTCCAATTGAGGACTGCATAATTCCAAAACGCATACCTGCAAAACAAATTTATTAAAAATGAAAAAATAGTCAAAAAAAATGTTTACGGTTTTTTAAAATAAAACACTAACTCACCACAATACGCTAAAATAACTATAGGACAAATTTGAAAATAATTTCCACAATTTTTTTTTTTTTTAGTTATAATTTTTTTTTCGGAGGCTCTTCGATCCATCTTCCGAGGGCAAACCTCTGGTGGTTTATTGTACATAGCAACTTGGTAACTACGTATTCTTTTGGTACTTTTGGTACCAATTTGGTATTTCTAGTATAATTTGGTATTATTTGGTAATAATACTGGTATTATTTGGTAATAAACTGGTTTTATTTGGCATTAAGCTGGTATTAAACAGGTATTTTGTTGGACATCTGGCAACGGTGGATGTGGATTCGTAGAGGCACGTGGCGACGCGACGCGACGGACGGCTGGGAAGCTGATTGCATCATTTCTAGCACAGAATATCTTATGCTAGCAACAGAAAAAATATCGAAATGAACAGAGCTAACCAATTGCAACAAATACGAATACTAGATGAACGCGAACAATACTCATAATCAGAAATATAATAGAAAATTTTGTAACTTTCGGTTTTGGATCGACGCCGACGGCTCGTCGATGGCCTTATAGCTCGGCTAAATATGCACAATTGCCAGATTCAAAAAGATTTGAATTGGCATCCCATTCTTTTATTGTGTATAAGTGCAGTATGTGTTTTCTTTTCTATTCTTTTTTTCTTGTCAGATACACTTATATTATTATTCCTTTTGGCTATTAAAAATAGTTTTTAAAGTATATTATTACAAAACATATACATTTTTTTTTTTTTTTTTTTTATTTTTATGAAATATTATTAATTACCTTAATTAATAATATACAGGGCGATTGATAGTGAAATTTATTAATGCTGGACGTTAGTAATGAAATTAAGTTTAATAATAATGGAAATATATTTATTAAAATGCAGTACAAAAAATGTTAACTGACTAAAAAAAACTATAACTAACAAATTCCTTCCGTTTGCCACGTTATTTATTTAGACCTAGGTAGATTTTAAAAAGTGACACAGGTACAATTAATAATATATTAGGTTCGGCTAAAAGTTGCTGTCACAACATCGAAAATCAATTTAAAATTCGTAAAATAAATTAAAATTATTAATTAAACAAATTTTTTTTTTTTTTAAAGAAACGCAAGTATACAAAATTTGGGCCCAATCGAACTCCATGAAATGATATCATAATAGTGTACTATATTATGGTACCACTCGAAATACTTTAAGGTAACATAATGTTGCAATGTCACCGAAGACCTAGTATAAATCAAGATTTAAGAACATAATCGACGCCCATGAAATGGTATGTAATATAATACTATATTAAGGTACCACTTTATATACACCATAGTCCTCTATTACAATTTAACCGAAGATACGTAGTATACAAGTTTAGAAGCCCGCAATCGAACGCCATGTACGTCATATAGGTACTATAATTCAGTACCAGTTGATATGCTTCTTGGTACCATAATATTGCATTGTCATCGAAGATCCGTAGTATATCAAATTTAAGAACAATAGGAACGCCAATAAATGGTATCGTAATATGGTACTATAATTAGGTACCAATTTAAGTATGCATCATAAGTACCATAATATTCCAATGTCACCGAAAATACGTATTATCCCAAGTTTAAGCCCAAATCGAACGCCATGTACGTCATATAGTACTATATTAGGTACATTGATATGCCTTCATGGTACCATTAATAATGCAATGTTCATCAAAAATTACGCAAGTTATATATGAAATAGTGAGCTCAATCGAAACGCAGGAAATGATTGAAAATATGGTTCTGATATTAAGGTACCACTTTATATGCATCATAGTACAATCATATTACAATGTAAACGAAGATACATAGTATAACAAGATTAAGTCCAATCGGACGCCAGGAAATGGTATCGTAAAATGGTACTATATTATGGTACTCTTATATTATGCTCCATGGTACCATATATTAATATCACCGAAAGATACGTATATCCCAATTTAAGCCCAATCGAAAGCCATGTACACAAAATTGGTACTATATTATGGTACCAGATGATATGCATCATAGTACAATCACATTACAATGTAACCGAAGACACGTAGTATACCAAGTTTAAACCCTATTGCCGTCATGACCTAATATTGCCCCCCCCCCTTATGTCATCAAATATGGTACTATAGAAGGTACCACATTATATGCTCCATGGTACAATAATTCATGTTACTGAAGATATAGTATACCACGTTTAAGCCCAATCGAACGCCATGTATCGTAATATAGTATATTATGGTATCACTTGATATTCTTCTGAAAAAAACGGCGTCCAGTTGGCTGCGAAATAAGGACGATCGATGATATTTCCCTTATAATTACATATAAATGACAGTGATATTCACACATTCATAGCTATCGTAAGCCGTTTTTTTCCCGATTATACAATATGAACTTGGTATGACCACACATCAAACTAGGTAGTGGTAATATAATAGTAGAACATACTTATTTATATTGTCGGCCGAATTACAAAGAAAATTCAGGATTCAATTATACACTCAAACATCAGGAAGTGATTTTAATTAAGCTCATAAGATTTAATTCCAACTATCATGGCAAACTGAAAAAACCAGCTCTGATCTATTTAATAATTTTAAATGATGTAGCAATTTGAAGGTAGGCTTTATCAGGAGATATTACGTATGACTATTTCACAATGGCAACACTGCACCAATCTTTTAAATTTTGTTTGGTAGAAAACTGTTTTCTGTTAAATATTAATTGTCCCCTATTATGTAGTTACGAAATACACCATAAAAATACTCTTTTAAAAGCTGTCTCCTTTTGCTACCAACAATTTTATACATGTAACGAGGCTCCTGTTGCGTAGCTAGATAATCTGTGATTCTAGCCATTTGCACAACTGAAAATGAGCCGCCTTCGCGCTTTTTACACGATTTTTTTTTTTTTTTTTTTTTTTTTTATTTTATATGATATTTTAAAGTTTTATATTTAAAAATAACCGAGTTATACTTTCACTTACTACTTAAATAAAAAAATATACCTCGTAATATACATACTTAAGAATAATTACTTGTGTTTCGAGGTTAGGTTGCTGGCCTATTTGAAAAGTAGGTTATTTTTACCCGATATTAATTGCCAAGCTTGCAATTTTTTAATGCATAAAAATTAAAAAAAAAGCGTAAAAGTTTTTACGCAAAAACGGTACATAGCGTCATACGAAAAAATGTCAAGAAATTAAAGAACTCGCATCATGGAAACATAATATGGATCTCGTTAGAATTTCTTATTTTTCTTGTGCATATAATGATATTTTTGAGCTTATAAGTAACAAATAGCGCAAACAGCAAAAAATGCAATTACTTTTTATGTCTAGTTTTTATTTTATAAAATTTTTGAAGTATCGATGTTAATGGAACCGTTAAAATTACTTTTTAAACGTGTCATGACAGTAGCTTTATTCGAGTTCCCAAAATGTACGGTTCTAGAACGGTTCAAAACACTGGCACAATATGATTTTTTGCAACTTTTGACATGAATGATTGTCGTAATTAGACTGTGCGATTTTTTTAAACCGTTCTAGAACCGTACTTTTTTGGATCTCGAATTAAGCTTATATGTTTTTCTGACCTAATTATCGTAGTTTGACATGAATAGGCCCTAAAGCTCCAAATATCTTAAATTCTTTAGATACTAAAAGAATAATACTAATTTCGAATTTTTGGTTCTAATTTGTTTTTTTTTTGGAAATAATTTTGTATTTTTGGTACTTTTTTCCCAAAATTGGTATTTATTGTACACCATTTTTGGCAGCGGTTTGCCCCTCGATACTTTCCGAGATACAGCCGAGAGGTATTCTTAGTGGGACACCCTGTACAACCCAGCTACATATCTGTATAAACTTACCGATACAATTCCTTGGACCCTCGCCAAAAGGTAAATAAACATACGGATTTCTGACCGCTTTATTTTCAGTATTAAATCTCTCAGGATCGAACTTATCAGGATCGGGAAAATAGTCTGGATCTCTTCCCATCGCTGACGTGGACACCAGGACCGTAATCCCCTTTTCCAGTGTGAAATTCGTATCTTTGAAAGTGTATGGTTTGACGGAGATTCTCGCGAGGTTTTGGACCGGTGGGTACATTCTTAAGGTTTCTAAAATAATATATCTATTTGTCTAAAGGTTGAAAGGACAAATTATGGGCTTACAGTAAGTCCCAACAACTCAGAAATTTTATTCAATTAATTATTTTTTATACTTTTGTAGTTTAATTTCAATAATTTAAGCATAATATACACTATCCACTCAGATGAAAAAAAAAACGTAATGGAGAAATTTTTGGTCAAATTTGAAGTGTTCAATTTTTGTTATTTTTAGCCCTATTTTCATGTTTTTTTGTGTACATCTGATTGTCCAAAAATATACAGGATGTTCTATTTAAATTAAACAAGTTATTGCCGTTTAAGGCTAGAAATTATTTAAAACAAATTTTTAGACACCCTGTATGAGATAGTATTATTTTTATTATTGTAACACAATAACTGATCAATAAATAAACTTCAGTAAATATTTAGTATTAAAAACTTACATACCCTTGGAGAAATGAAGCCTTAAAATTTTTACTGCGATTTCACCAAATTGAAATTATTTCAAAAAAGGTAAGGTTTAAGTGTGATAAACCTTAATCAAATTTACCTTTATTTTAATCGTAGAAACTAAAAATGTAATAATATACAGGGCGTTTCATTTAAAAAAATAAAACTTTGATATTTTTATTTATTTGGAATATTTACATTAGGAATAAAATTGATATAATTATATACAGCTTGCTAAAAAAATCATGAAAATAAGCCTAAAAATAACAAAAATAAATGACAAAAGACAAAATTAACACTTTAAATTTGACCAAAAATGAATGTGGATAGATAAAAAAAATATAGTTTAGTAAAACCTGATAATTCTTTTTGTAGTAAATTATTTGTTCTTACCGTCAAGAACTTGTCTCAAATAAGTCATGTCTTTGAAAGCTTCATAAGTGAATTTTCCGTCATGTTTTTCTAAAACTTTGTTGATTTCCGCACGGGTTTTTTCTTGAAGTTCTGGATTTCGGGCCAGCTCATATAGTACGAACTGCATTGTTGTAGAGGATGTGTCAAAACCTAAAATATCAGTTTTGTGTCACTTGGTTCGAAAATAATATAAAATAGTATAATTAGATAATTATATTTAGAAAAAAAAATCGTATTTAAATTTTTATATTGAGTTTTAAGATTACAGTTGAGGGTTGGAACCTTTGGTGTTACACAGCAAAATAAAAACACTAAATCACCAGAATACACCAAAACACTTTTACTTTTACACTGGACGCGCGTTTCGCTAACTATGTTAGCATCATCAGCAGATGATTATAAACTAAGTGAGTTTTAACATTGAATAAAAAAAATAAGGAATAGAAGTGTAATCAACAAGGACAGGGTGTTCCAAAAAAAACGAAAAAAAAGCTATTTTATAATTTCGAAAGTTTGGCATAGAATTTGAACACCCTGTATATATAGTTTTTAATTCAGGACATTCTTGTATTTTTTTTTAAAGGCTGATCTTTTTATTTATTTATTAATATATCTGAAACTATCAATACATATTTAATAATATTTTAGAATTGTGTAAAGTGATCAGAAAGAAAGCCGAAAATACAACAATATTCAGTTCCATTTAAAAAAATCATCGCAATCCACTCATACTTTTTAGAGCCACTCTGTAAAAGTTAAAATATTGTTCTGAAATACATTCTAATACATACTTTAGGTCTCCACTTAAACAAAATTCCTAAGTTTTTTATTACAGGAGCTACTGCCCACTATTGCTCTGTAAACATGGATAGAGAACCAATTATTAGAATAAGATAAACTAGAAATAATGTAAAATAAATAAAGAAAACAACGAATTTAAATTTGGCTACAGAAAAGTCAAATCAAACTTAAAAATGTATTTTAAAATGGTATATGACTCCTAGCTTGCTTAGTTTTTTTTATTCAATAATTGCAAACTTTTTAGACACTGTCTGATACTAATATTTTTTTGAATTTTTATACCCATTAATTTCTCCAAAAATATCTCCAAAATATCCTTTCTATATATCATATCTACTAAATAAAATATTTATTTTTGTAACACTTCTGCGTTAATCCCAAACGGAAACTACTTGTCAAAAATTAGGTTTACAGATCTAAAAATTTGCCTAACGAACAAAAAAATGCTTAACGTTTCGGAAAGTTTATCTCTTTCCGTCGTCGGAAGCAAAAAAATACAAAGAATAAAGAAAAAAACTATTTAAAATATTTAAATTCAACTACTCGAGAACACTTTAGTTTTTTAAAATAGTCTACCGTTGACGTTCTGTTGAAACGACACTATATCAAGTTAAACTTCAAAATTAACAATTACTATAGTCTGTGAAACGAATAACTTTGAATTTGACAGTTCCCGCGGGCTTTTCTAGTGTTAATTTTATTAGGTTAGCAACTTGCGGCCATGCTGACGCAATGCCGTCTCAAATAGAGCAGCCTCGGAGCGAGATTTACGACGTCACGCTAGTTAGATACTACGGATTAATAAATATGTTGTAGAAAACATGGAAAACACAATTCTTCCTCGTATTTTTGGTTTGTATTTTAAAAATGATATAGTCTACATGAAATATACATAATATACAGTTAATAAATACAATATATATATATATATATATATATATATATATATATATATATATATATATATATATATATATATATATATATATATATATATATATATATATATATATATAATCATATTTTACATGGCCTAAAGTCAACAATAATTATTGTTCAGTAAATTCATATACGTATATTTAATCACTCGAGTCCCAAGAGATTTTTCGCATTTTTATATATATATATATATATATATATATATATATATATATATATAGAAAATCTGGGATTTAGTGGGGTTGCAGTCGGAAGGGTTTGACAAAGAATTAATACACTTTGTTAATTGTCAAGCTTTCGGAATTTATTTATTCCTTCCTCAGGACATTAACGTGGTACAGAAAATACCTTCATAAAACTACATTAAACATGGTTTGTGTTGATAACTCCACCGTGAAAGCATCGCTGACCAGTCAACCACAAGGACTCTTATAAGGCGGTTAAGCCGCCAAATATAAGTTAGAACATTAGAATAATTAGGAGATGTTAGAAATTTTTAAATTAAAGAATTTTTTGCGTCTCAATCCGAAGCGTGGAGGCGCAAAAAAACTAAATCCCAGATTTTCTTTCTCACTAGTCAGTCGAGACTACTTTCTGCCTATATATATATATATATATATATATATATATATATATATATATATATATATATATATATATATATATATATATATATATACCTATTTATAGTAAGAGTAATAGTAATAAGTAGTAAGTAGTAATAAGTAAGTAGTAGTAAATACTTTGGCAAATTAACTATGAACCAAACAAATGCAGCAAATGTTTTACAATATACAAATCATGAATAGGTATATAAGATAATGGGTAAAATGTAAAATATATTTTAAATTTTGGGGTTTGAAAATCGATCAAATTTAACAAAAAACATTCAATATCTACTAATAGTGATGTATTATTATTTGCATTCACAAAATTTATAGGTATGTATATTTTGCAAGTATCAATGTTCGAAAAATTATATTTCCAGATAATACAATATCACAGAAAAAAGGCGTCAGCGATGGCTATGAAATAAAGATCGCTGTAATTTTATATGAAAATTATTACATATAAATATTATTATTATTATTTTTAAAATACAACCCAAAAATACGAGGAATAATTATGTTTTCCATGTATTCTACAACATATTTATTAATCCGTAGTATCTAACTACCGTGACGTCATAAATCTCGCTCCGAGGCTGTTCTATTAGAGACGGCATTGGTCTGATATTTAGAAATCTCAAAAACTGATGACATTTTACTTTTGACAATTATGACATTTCGTGTTGATTTTTGCAAGAAGAGGAAGAACTGTCACTTGTTTTTATATTTTCCTTTTCTATTTCACGAAAGTAAAAAGAGTTACGTATCTGATTCGTTCAGGCACTCAATTAAAAGAATATCAGTAACTTTTTGGATAAAGGGATTTTATATTTGCCATGTTGGTCAAAAATAACGGTCAAAATTCAAAGTTATTCATTTTATAGACTATACCTGATAACAATTACTTAATAATCCAAAGGTAAAACTTAAGGTAAAACCAAAAAATCCTAAACTTTGTGTATAATTATTTTTAATTCTTACGTATGTTATGTATTATTTATGTTATATTCTTTATTTATGTTATATTCTTTAAAATTTTATATTCTTTATTATTTATGTTATATTCTTTAAAATCAAAGAAGCGATTGCCATACATTACTAACATCTACAGATGCATGAGCAATACATTTATTTTTATTAGATTGTATTAAAAAAGCCTCTTTTATTTTTCTTTGAGAGGCTATCGCTTCTTTCATTATAATTTTGGCGTTATTGAAATTTATTTTGTGCCCTGTGTCCCTTGAATGCTGACAAATCTTAGATTTATGAAAATCTCCCTTTCTTAAATAATCTTTATGTTCTTTAATTCGAACATTTAAGGGTCTAGATGTTTCAACAATGTAAAATTTAACCATGATATGGCCGATGATAAAATTTAACCGATGATACGACCGCGGTTCGGATTCCGCGTAAACAAAGCAGGCCCCGTCCAGATTAGCCCTGGCAGCCAAAAAGGAGACGTTAACTTCAAATCTTTACTTTACTTTAAAATATTTAAATTCAACTACTCGAGAACACTTTAGTTTTTTAAAACAGATACGTCTACAAAAACCGAAATAACCATATAGGATATTTTGGAGAGATGAATCCGCCACATAAGTATAGACATTTTTTTACAAAAATATATTAACCTGCTATGAAAAACAGAGTAGTGTTTGCTATCAAGTTATCCTTAGTAAATGGATGTTCATCATTTTTCGTAGATTCAAACACTTCCATCATCAGCTGTGTAAAATCGGGTCGGTAAATATTATTTTTCTTCCTAAACTCTATATTATTTTTCACCACGTCCACGAAAAATTTTGTCATGACCTTCGGTATGTTATTAAATCCAAAATGGACGGCTAGTTTCTCGCATATCCTTGTCGTTAACAGTCCTGTCGCTCTGAAAATGTCTACATTGACAAATTCACGTCCCATCTGTCTAAACTGCGAGTCTTTGTCTTTGAAACAATCGAATTCGAGGCCAAATGCCACACAACCTATGACGTCAATGGTGAATGAAGCTAAGAGCTGAAACAAAAATGTTATCTTTTATATGTATTATATTATATTATGTATATTTTAATTATTTTAAATACTTCACATTAATTGAAATGTTTTTCTAAAAGTGTGAAATTGTTTCATATTTTATCCAAACTCAAAATAAATCTTAAAACCCTAATACCCGAACTGGTGACCGTACCAGTGTCGGGTATTAACTAAAAATGTTTATTGCCTTATTTTAAATACCGTTTTTATTGCCCTGTTGTTACAGTATTGGCCAAAAGTGGATGAACCAATACCAATAATTGCGAAGAAAATCAGATTTGAGGTGTTAAATATCAAAATTATTTTATGTACCTTTGTATGTTAAAAGTTTAATACATTCTCACCAAAATACTACAAACAAATATAAATTCTTCTGTTAGTCTTATCATTTATAGATAAGAATTGGCAAATATTGCTTTTTTGTCTTGGACAAAAGTTAGTTTCATTTGTTCTGCTTTTATGAACAATTGCGATTTAAAAACATTTGAGCTCTTGTGATATATCATGCCACGTGGAATTAACTTGTCTGCAGATCTTAAGTTGCGAGTAGTGAATGATGGTTTGAAGCAATCGGAAATCGCTAAGCAATTACGCCTTGGAAAATCAGCGGTACATTATATTTTAAAGAGATATATTTAGAGAGGAGATGTCTATAAAAAGAAAACCAGGACGACCTAAAAAAGTTGGTCCCATTATTATAAAAGCCATAAAACGAATTTCTTCACAAGATCCATTTTTGCCGTCAACGAAGATAAAAGCAAAACTTGAAGAAATGGGCTATCCACCAGTGAGTACAAGGACGATCCGACGTAAATTAGTTGACCAGAAGTTGTTTTCCCGAAGACCCGCCAAGAAACCACTGCTATCAAAAAAAAATTTGCCCGAGGCCCGATTAGCATTTGCCAAGGAATATCAAAACTGGACTGTGACATAATGGAAAAAAGTTTGTTTTAGTGATGAATCAAAGTTTAATTTGGTGTCATCAGATGGAATTCAACATGTAAGAAGACCTCCCAACACACGATTGCTACCAAAGTACACGCAACCCACTGTAAAACATGGTGGGGGCTCAATCATGGTATGGGGGTGTTTTTCTGGGTATGGGATGGGGCCTCTCCATAAAATTGAGGGCATAATGGATCGATTTGGCTACAGAGACATTTTACAAAACCTTTTAGTGCCTTATTTGGAGGAAAAAATGCAAATTGTACAATACTTCCAACATGATAACGACCCGAAAGAAACATGCCTCACAATTGGTTAAAAGGTTTTTGGAAGATGAAATGGTGACTGTTCTCAAATGGCCATCGCAATCCCCAGACCTGAATCCAACAGAAAATTTATGGGAAATTTTGGATCAACACATTAGGACCAAATTCTACAAAAATAAGGAAGAATTATTTGCAGCTTTGGAAGAGTCTTGAAAAAATATCGATTTTTCTATAATTGAAAATCTTCTGGGATCTATGCCTAAGCGATGTCTGAAAGTAATTAAGAATAAGGGTTATTACACTAAGTACTAGTAAATTATAAGTTAATTTTTCAGTTTTTGTTAACATAAGAATTTTTTTTATTAAATATATATTTTGTTCATCTACTTTTGTCCCATAGTTTTTTCAATTTAAATTTTTTGCTACCTTATTAAAGCACATTTTAAAAAAACAATGCTATTTATTTTTATAGCACTGACACTAGACTTCAAGTAAATATAGCTCAAATTTTAATTTTAAACATATTAGGAAAACCCCATTATTTTAACAAAGTTCATCCACTTATGGCCAATACTGTATATACCGGATGTGTCCATCTAAAAAACGTGTTGGCATGTCACACTGTACAAAGTGGGTCAAATTGGACGCTTTTAAAGGGAAACATCCTTTTCTATAGGAGATAGGCGAAAACTAATATCGGTGTCTGTAGCTCAATTTTCATCAAAAACATGATGGTGCAAACCGCACATCAACATCTGTTGCCGTTTCGGAGTTACGGAGTGTTTTTCAAAAATATGCATTTTTAACAAATCGCTGTAGCTTTTTTGCTATGGAAAATTTTGTATTTCTATGAAAACATTTCCAAATCACCTTTTTACGTAGAATTTATTGGTTTAAGTATAATTTTTTTAAAATTAATAATTTAAGAGTTATCAACAGAAAAATTGATTTTTTATATGGGACACCCTGTATATTTTTAATTAACTGAAAATAACTTAAAATTACCTTTCCAAAAATATAGCACACCTGATATTTTGTTATAAATCCCTTCGAAATACAGAATTTTTAAAAGTTCGCCACTTTTAACTAGTAGGCTTTGGACCCCTTATTGATGATATGCCCCTAATAGAACTCGAAAACATATTTTTCCAGCAAGACGAGGCACCGCCTCAGAACGCTGAAGTTATAAGCACATTTTTGCAGCCAATTTCAAATAATTGAATAGCTAACCAAGATCCCAGGCGTTAGCCGTCGAGGCCGCCGGACTTAGTGCCTATATGGATCTAATTCTATGGATATATTTGCGGAAGAATAAAGGTTCTTATTTTTAAATTGCCCGTATAATCTAGACAAGAATTAGAAATACTTAGCAGTTATGAGAGGGTATCTTCCACCCCCACTGAGTTAACGAATTCCGCAAGAAATTTTCAAAAACGACCCCGTCTGTCCATAACAGAAGACGGTCGATATGTCGAACACCTGTAGCAAAATTTCATGTCTTGGTTTGCTGTTTATTTTTATTGTTATTAGATATAGTTTAAATGTGTTGATGTTAGTTAAATATAGTTTAAATTGTTATAAAATTCTACATCTCTCATAGTAAATATTATTTTCCTTTGAATTGATGCTCACAGCTAGAATTTTTTTGCATTACAGCCGAGGCCGTTCAACGCCTACTTGTTTAAAGTGAGCGAATTTTTATAAACTTTATATCTCGAAGAGGTATAGAGCAAAATATCAAGTGTGGTTTATTTTTAGAAAGGTAATTTTAAATTCTTTCCAACAAATTAAAAATACACAGGGTGTCCCATATAAAAAATCAAAATTTCTGTTGATAATTCTTAAATTATTAATTTTAAAAAAATTATACTTAAATCATTAAATTCTACGTAAAAAGTTGCCTTGGAAATGTTTTCATAAAAATCAAAATTTTCCATAGCAAAAAAATTACAGCGATTTGTTAAAAATGCATATTTTTGAAAAACACCCCGTAACTCCGAAACAGTAACAGATATCGATATACGGTTTTAACCAACATGTTTTTGACAAAAATTAAGCTCCAGACACCGATATTAGTTTTCGTCTATCTCCCACAGAAAAGGGCGTTTCCCTTTAAAAGCGTCCAATTTGGCCAACCCTATACAAAAGAAAAAGTATTTTGCGTTTATAATGAAGGTCTTGTACTATCAGGCTCTTAGAAATATATTATAATTATAACTTAAATTTATTGATGACTTAAATTTCTGTTATATAAAATATGTATGTTACGCACAATACTCGAATTCGGATAATGCCCGAAAAAAATGCACAGAACTAGTTTTGAGCAAAAAATATTTTCCAAACCCGAAATTATACATTTAAACGGGTATTGCGCATTACAAAATAGTCCAAACTAGTATTGTGCATTTTGAATTACGCAAAACTAGTATTGGACATTTTGAAATGCACCAAACTAGTTTTGCGTAATTCAAAATGCACAATACTAGTTTTGACTATTTTGTTATGCGCAATACCCGTTTAAATGTATAATTTCGGGTGTGGGAAATATTTTTTGCTCAAAACTATTTCTGTGCATTTTTTTCGGGCATTGATCCCGAATTCGAGTATTGTGCGTAACATGTATATTTTATATGAAAATTTTATTTACGTATATTCTATTTTAATGACCATTTTAATTATAGAAAAATATAGTACGTTGTGAATATTACTTTTAACAGTTATTTAGCGTTTAAAATAATTACAAAATTTGACCCCAAAAAAAATCACTTACGTCTTTGATATCAATGTCGTCTTTGGTACCGCTTGCAGCTTCAATGCATTCTATCATCGGTTTCGAACACTCCACCACCATATCGAACATCATTTTCATTTTGGCCGATGTAAACACTGGTGATAGCTTTGTCCGCATGTTTTTCCATTCATCTTTTTTCACGACAAAAAGGCTTTCGTTTTTCGGGTCATGTACTGGATTAGAGTACATATCACGGTCAACAAAATATTGAAAGTCCTAGAAAGAAGTTTGTGTAAAACTTGGAAAATAAGTTGGTTATAATAATGGTTTTATAATTTGGAAACTCTCTATTTATTTATCTAGTAATGCTGAAACACTCTATTTGAAAGTCGATTAGAGAAAATAGTATGATTCATTGGCAAGTAATGTAAATATTTACGATCCGGTAAAATTGTGATGTAAGAGGAGGCTTAGCTTGCCTGAGGCGAGTCAGTGGTTGATAGGCCGGCCGGCTGTTGTGTTGTGTTTTGTCATAGAGCTGATATTTGGGGGTTGAGAGTCTTTTGACTATAAACGTTGCAAGTACTGTAAGGCAACGGGTCGTTTGACCAGAAGAAAACCTCTTGTGGTGTGACGTCTTGCCTTCGAGGTTGGTCTTGAGAGTTTGAGGTCTCCCTTGCCTTCTCGATTGACACGATGCGGCGTTGGGGTAGTGAGCTACCCCAATTAGCTTATTCGATTGGGATGCGAATCTGTTTAGCGGCAGAATTGCGTTCGGGGGAAGCTCCTATACTATTTCAGGTGACCTAGCTAGTGGCCCCCTTGTTGAAGATTATTAACCAATAGATCCGAATAATATTTGAATTAGATGGAAGATATGAAATGTGATATATTGAATAGAATGTCAGTGATGTCAGTGGTTAGGGGGCGGAGTACCCCCGGGTGAGTCTTACTATTTAATTATCAGTTTTATCCAGATCAGTGAATGTTTGTTTTGTTATTTTCATGTTCAATGAGAGAGTGCTTGCCAATGACCAACTAAATGGATATTTGAGGTGAATTTGCATTGTGAGACCCGGTTGAGTAAGCCCCGAAAATTCCGATTTTACATTTGTTCATTATTTTTAATGGAATTATACAGGGTGTCCCAGGCTGAGCGTGCATTAGAAATTTCCAGAGAACTACAACATCTATCTCTGAGATTTTTTGCACATCATAGTCTCACAACAAGATGTATCGATTAAAGATATTTTCAATATGGCGGCACTTCTGGAAATACCGGAAGTTGACGGCAACTTTCTTATTTTAAATGGGTGCCCTCTTTTTTTATTACATACTTAAATTCTCTGTAAAATTTTATGAATTTTAATATTAAACAGTCTATACCTAACACTGACCGTTTTTGAGAAAAAAAATATTTAAAATTTTTGAACGAAAAAAACTACCTGGCAAAAATATCTGTATAGCCTAAACGTCAAATTTAGTGATTACCACAGCCACTGTACCATACAGAGAAAACATGTGGCTAGCTACACCAAAAATTAAATTATTCGAATGTCATATAATAATGGCCCCAGTTGTCATAGAATTGAGCAATGAAAAAGTATCATAAATAATTTTTTTCAAATAGAAACCCACTTTTTTTATTTCACTAGTGAAAAGGCTTTTCAGTTCGTTACTTTATGACTACAGTTCGTCTGCTGGATCTGTGTCTATGAAAGGAATGCGGACAAAAAACATTTAAATAAACAGCAATATATTTTATACGTCGACTTGACGAGTACGTCGCCGCAAATCGCTCCGCCCACTCATTTTATTGGCTACTTGCAAAAACATCGAGAGAATATCGTTTCCCCTCTCACGGATACCCCGTGGCCACAGAACGGACAGACGTACTGTATACATATTCCTATACCTAAAATAAATCGTTTTTAAGTTAAAGTGAATAGTTTTCTTGATTTTAACAAGTTGCCTATGACTTTAAACATCAAGTGATGAAAAACAATAGATCTGGCCATGTCGTATTGTGACGCTTTGTTCAAAAAGCAGCATCATCATTTCCGAGCCAATTTTGCGCTGTTTTTTTTCGATCATACGGAATATTATTAATATCAACTTTTAGTGATCACTAAAGAGCGATAATACGAGATGTATTTTTATAAATATACTTTTCAAAACTCTTAAGCAAGCAGTATAACTAACACCTTCTAGAACGCATATATAAAGTCATTTCTTATATAACAGATTTCAGCTAAACGAAAGTTGAGCCTACAACTTTATTACAGTTACCTTTAAAAGAACATCTCTAATATAATCAGGATCGGTTAGCAACAGAACTGGCTTTGCCCAACTCCAAGCCCCACCATATTTCAAACCCCTGCTCTTGAAGTCTTTGTACCATGCAACAGTTTCCAAGCCATAAGATGTTGCTTGGGGAGCAATACAATCATTATTACCTAAAAAATAATCGGTTATTTGAAATTATATCATACGTGTATATAATTTAGAGTTAAGGCACAATAAAAAGAATAAAGAAAATAACTTAAAACTGACCTACTACCTCCAAAAACTCACATTTTTTTATAATATCTAATGAATACTCATTTTATGGATTAACTTTTATTTAAATGAAATCATATTTAATAAAATATTGGCAAAAGCAATGTGTGAATTTAAGGTAAATTAATTAATTACAGAAGGCATTATAACACAGACTCTTTAATCAGTATGTTACGGATATATTGCTTACTTGGCTAGTTTATACAGGGTGTCCCAGAAATAAGTGCAAGTATTTTAAGGGGTGGTAGATCTCGATAAAAGGAGCATATTTTCTCTTTATCGTTTTTCAAATAAGTCCGAAATAACAGAGTTATTTTACTTTCGAAAATTTCCAAAAAAAAATAATTTTTTGCTAAAATTTTGAGAACCACTGGATCTTCTCTGGATTTTCTTCCTTGTAAATTTAATCTAATACCTATGTATGTTGCCATATTATCAAGAAATTATGTTTTTAAACTAAAAACTAAAAAAAAATCAAAACAGTTTTTCAAAAAATTTCGAATTTTTAAAAAAAAATCGCGAAAAGAACCTCATAGGCGTGTTTCTGGGGTTGAACTATATACTACCAGTTAAAATACTTGCACTTATTTCTGGGACACCCTGTATAAGCTAGCTGGAGAGTATACAAACTATAATAACTACAATAGGCGATTATAATATATTATAATACACACACTTGATCTAACGCTGGTGCAACTTGCTTCAATAAGTATTTAAGAGAATTATTTTTTTTATGTTACTAATAAATAATTAATTAATAATATTTAAAATACGAAGATACGAATGGCAGAAAAATTATAGATATGTGATTCTTCTGAAAATCTTACCTAGAGGAAATTTGGGTTTTATATATGGAACAGCTTTTCTCCGCCAATACGTGTAAGAATACTGAAAATATACATAAATGAATATAAACACAAGAAAAAATGGTAAAAATCCATAGAATAAAACGGTTTCTAGTAACATTTCCGAAAACAATGTCATTTAATAACTTTGTATACAAAAGTGCGTGTAATCTCGACTAATCTCAATTTGAACTAATGTTGATAAATACTCTCGCATCTTATTTATATGACTTTGAAATTAAAAATAATATTATTGATGAGAATAATAAGAGTACGGAGAATTAAGCAGTATTAATTGTAGTGAAAAACATAAAAATCTGTTTAAAAAACAATGTATTGTATAATTTAGTCAATTGCAGGTATTTTATTAATAGTAGCTTCTATAATACCTTGATCTATATTTAACTATTTTAATAACATCGATTTAACTATTAACTAATGTTGTGTCATAGTTTTTGCAGAGTATAACAAACGTCTTTTGTTTAGCACAAAATTATAAAGCTCCATATAGCCTAAGAGCTGACGACATATTTAGAGAACATATTTTAGGCAAGCTAGAATAACTAAAAATGTATAGTTTATTAACTGGTGAACCCAGAATACTAAGTCTGGCTGGGGGGTTGGGGGTATTTCGCTACTGCGCAACCCATAACATTTGCAAAAAAATAAATCCAAAAAACATTCTTTAGGCAACTTGAATTTGTATATTCTTAAATTTTAGCATCTATTTAACCTAGAAATAAGTATGCCAGTCTTTTTTTTCGGGTTTAAAGTGTAACCAGACCATTCCAAATATGTTTAATTATTATACTTGGAAAACATACTTTAGGCATTCTAAAATTTTTACAGCGTGTTTATTAGATGATATTAAGAATATGTGTTAATTGCCAGACGAATTCAATGGGATTTAATACTTGCCAGACGCGAATAAAGATTTTAAATGAGCGCGATAAGAAAGTCTTATGAGTACCTATAAGCGCGAGAAAGATAGTTTATTGAGACCCGTCGACAGCCGATACGGCTGACGTAACAGCATTTTGGAGTTGTAAAAACTTAAAAAAAAAACTAACTAATATTGAATAAATAAAAAGAAACATTTTTTAATAAAAATGTATGATTGAAATGCTTTCAATAAGAAGACTTTTTAATTTAAGCATTTTGTATCTGAAAGAATAAAAAGGAATAATTATTTAAAAATTAGCATAATATAAAATATATTTTTTTCAAACGTCACAAATGTATAATTATTATTATACTTTTGTGAGACATATTATATTATTATTAATTTTTGCGACCTGATTGACAATATAAAAAAGTAATTTTAACGCCTAAGCATAAAAGTAAAGCACTTTTACTTACTTTTGAATCTATTTAGAAAGATTAACAATGGTAGGTACTTTAATAAAATTCCAGAATACTTATTTTTTAGCACTGTACATGGTACCCTTTTGTCAGGACTACGTTTTCTGGTAAAATCACTTCTTTAAATTTTAAACCATGTTGTTGGCGCACTTTTAAAATTTCTTTGCATTTTTGTAGTCTGCCTTCATCAAAAACAATAACTTTGTCACTAGTAACTTTTTACAAACTACACAACTTAAATGTTTTTATCCATTGTGATTTAGTAGTTAGTAGCGAAATTAGTAGTTACTAAAATATTTATTTGCAGTAATTATTCTAAACTATTTACACTATGCACGTCAATATTTAATTTATAAATACATATTTGTACATGGTAACTTAATTCCAACAAAATAATCTCTGAATTAAAAGCCTGCAAATAATTGAAATGAAACCGAAAAAAATTGTTTTTATGAAAATTTGAAGTACATACTCCAAAATACTGTTACGTCAGCCGCATCGGCTGCCGACGGGTCTCAATAAACTATCTTTCTCGCGCTTATAGATACTCATAAGACTTTCTTATCGCGCTCATTTAAAATCTTTATTCGCGTCAAGCAAGTATTAAATCCCATTGAATTCGTCTGACAATTAACACATATTTTTTAATATCATCTAATAAACACGCTGTAAAAATTTTAGAATGCCTAAAGTATGTTTTCCAGGTATAATAATTAAACATATTTGGAATGGTCCGGTTACACTTTAAACCCGAAAAAAAAGTCTGGCACACTTATTTCTAGGTTAAATAGATGCTAAAATTTAAGAATAAACAAATTTCAAGTTGCCTAAAGAATGTTTTTTTGGATTTATTTTTTTGCAAATATTATGGGTTGCGCAGTAGCGAAATACCCCCAACCCCCCAACCAGACTTAGGATCCTGGGTTCACAAGTTATTAAACTTTATTTTTTTTGTTATTCTAACTTGCCTAAAATATGTTCTCTAAATATGTCGCCAGCTCTCCGGCTATACTCACACTTCACTCCTTCGTCCATTCGCTTCCTTCCTGCGTCCATTCGATGCTTGGAAATTAGTCGATTATGCAACAACACACCACAAAATATGTTTAATATAGCAGAGCTACATGTTTATTACGAAATATCTAGTAACCTCTAAAATTTTTATTATAAAACGGCAATTCTTTGTCGTGTCAAAAGTAAAAATTGAATTTTAATAATATAATTTTTTTAATAGATCCGAATATTTCGGTATTATGTACAAGGTATATATCAGTATGAATGTACAAGGCGAGTCAACAATAGAGTAAAGTTTATTATGTCATTTATATCGAAACGAAATATGACATACTAATTAAACGTTGATGTCAATCCCTATTTTTTCAGATATTTTTGTAAAGGCATCATGCACACTATTTCTATTTTTTTATTTTTGTCGCTACGATTACATAAATATGGACATGTATTTCTTCACAAATATGAAGACAAAATTGTCTTTTCGTTCCATTTTTAAGACTATTGTGTGTGATATCTATTTTTATATCGACTGGCGATCGCTAGATGTACAGGGTGTCCCATTTTTGTGTGTTTTATGGGGTTTCTGGTTTATGAGTAGAGATATAAAGATGCCATTTTCACATCTGTAAAACCTGGAAAATAAGTTGGTTATAATAATGGTTTTATAATTCGGAAACTCTCTATTTATTTATCTAGTAATGCTAAAACACTCTATTTTAAAGTCGATTAGAGAAAATAGTATGATTCATTGGCAAGTAATGTAAACATTTACGATCCGGTAAAATTGTGATGTAAGAGGAGGCTTAGCTTGCCTACGGCGGTTCAGTAGTAGACTGGCCAGCCGGCTGTTGTGTTGTGTTTTGTCATAGAGCTGATATTTGGGGGTTGAGAGTCTTTTGACTATAAACGTTGCAAGTACTGTAAGGCAACGGGTCGTTTGACCGGAAGAAAACCTCTGGTGACGTCTTTCCTTCGAGGCTGGTCTTGAGAGTTTGAGGTCTCCCTTGTCTTCTCGATTGACACGATGCGGCGTTGGGATAGAGAGACTAGTGAGGTACCCCAATTAGCTTATTCGATTGGGATGCGAATCTGTTTAGCGGCAGAGTTGCGTCCGGGGGAAGCCCCTATACTATTTCAGGTGATACTAGCTAGTTGTTGAAGATTATTAACCAATATATAACCGAATGATATTTGAATTAGATGGAAAATATGGAATGGGATATATGGAATAGAATATATAAGTGGCTAGGGGGCGGAGTACCCCCGGGTGAGTCTTACTATTTAACTATCAATTTTATCCAGATCAGTAAATGTTTGTTTTGTTATTTTCATGTACAATGAGAGAGTGCTTGCCAATGACCAACTAAATGGATATTTGAGGTGAATTTGCATTGTGAGACCCGGTTGAGTAAGCCCCAAAAATAACGATTTTACACATCATTGTTCTACTTATTATGAAACTAAATATGTTACACACAGATTTACCCTAGCCTTCTTAGTTCAAATTTATTTTTTATTTCTTTCTTTTATACTTTTTATTTTTTAATTAGTAGAAATTTTTGCATTCTTCGATAACCTTTGTATCTCGATAATCTTATAACTTATCAAAAAGATGAAAAGGGTCAGTGATGGGCGGTGGGTAAGTACCCAATTTGTAGATTAACAAAATCTGGCTATATACCTGTACATTTACTGTAAAAGAGTTTCCGACGATCGCATAGTAAATACCCGGTAGAATACCGGGAACAGGAATATACCAATATATAATAGGAATATTGTAGATATATTCCTGATATTACTGGTATATTTCTGGTATTATACCGGATATTTACTGTGCGGCCGTAGGAAACACCTTTTATAAAATTAGACTGTTCATCTAAATGTACAGGTATATACCGGATACCCTGATTTTGTTTTTTTCTACCTATTGAGTACTTACCCACTGCCCGTGTCTCGTTTTTCAGGTAGAATGCAGTGACGAAACTAGTTCTTCGTTAGGAGCTGTCTATTTCGAAAAATGACTCAAACTTATGTTCTGTTTTTAAACAGGACGGGGAAGGAGCGTTTTGAGGAAGTAAACGGAGGAAGGAGCGTTTTGACGAAGGAGGAAGGAACACACAGTCGCATAAAATCGACAATTTCCCATAGTAAATATACGATTTTTGGACGAACGGACGCGACGAAGGAAGGAAGTGAAGTAGCGAAGTGTGAGTATTACTCTTTACGACTATCAACCTTTTTTAACATTAATTTTAAAAAAATAGTGTTAAATCAATTCTTGTTGTAAATTTTACTAAATTGGTTTCCTATACAATAATTTTCCTACCTGTGAGATGTTAATTTCAAACAGTACAAAACAAAATTAAATTAAACAGCCTGTTTTTATACGTACAAAATCATAATAAAAAACAACTAAACTAATAAACGCGCCATAAAAACAAACGGCACTTTGAAATTACCCTTAAAAGTATTCCTAACAAATTAAAACTTGTTCAAAAACAGGGTTGAAAGAATGCAAATGAAGATTTTTACAAAATTTTATCGCGGAACGACTAAGGAGAGGTAGACTGGAGAATCTAAAAGTAGATAAATTTAATCACGAAGCTGCTCGGCATAAAGGAGTAAGATATTAAAACTTCGAAAGAAGAATTTTTCAAGTAATTAGATAGGATTTTAGTAGGATGCTTAAGAATTTGCTTAAGTTTCGGCATTTTCTACAGAGCTTGCTTTACGAAAGAAGCTAGCCGATTTTTAATAATAATAATTTATTTTATTAGTTAAAAAAATTATAAATTAATTTAACTAATTTTGTTTTAATTT